TCTATATGTAGCACACTACATCTCTCTGTAAGATGCACAGCCTATTAACCTAACCTTTTGGATACTAAATAATAAAGGAGAATTTTCCTCTCAGCTATGTACAGTTTCATTTTGTACATATATTTTAATTTATAATTTTGTACTTTCTTCATCCAGAAATTTAGGCATTCAGGATAATAAATCTGTTCTTACGTGATCTGAGGTATTATATGAAAGCGCTTTCTTGGAAGATCTCATCTCTTCTGCATATTGCATAATGTACATTAAAAGGATCATTAAAAGGACATATTCTAGTCAAATTAAAGAAGTTTTTAAGCCCCAGTGTTTTTAGTGGAAGAGATTTAAGAATGTGGTTCTGGTTTGCCCAAATTTGATCCACCAAACTAAGTACTGTGTGCTATTATCTATTGCCCCCTGCAATGTCAGTTGATAATTCCAGCTTGCTTTCACCATTCCTGAAAAGCAGCAAATGACAATGGTTGATAAACCTTTGAAGAACTGGCTGGTGCTTGACACCAAATGAGCAGTCAGACATGGCTTCTGTCATTTCTCTTTCATTTAAATCAGTGAGACATAAAAGTACGTGCTTTTGATTGGATAAATGTTCTTTAGTGGTTCTCACTATAAGGTGGAACTCTCTCTGCTTGGATCCTGGGTGGGATTTAAAAGGGGATTCTGAAGTCACAGTATAAATATATTATTTCCAAAGTCTTGAAATGTTGTCTGTTTTCGCCCTCTACTGCCCAGAGCCCCAAATGACACCTAGGATTTTTGTCACATTCATCACTTGTATAAATGCAGGAATCAAGATGGTTAACTTGGATGAAAAGATTAAAAAGGCATAGCATAGAGATGGAGCATCTGCAATTCCCAGGTTCAGTCTATAGTTTTTCCAAGAAGGCTTGAAAAATTCCTCCTTTGGATTACAGTCAGTATCAGTACTCATGAATTAAATGGACCAATGATTTGATTTCAGTAGAAGGCAATTTCCAGTGTTCCTAAACCATGACAATTTAAATTTGTTTAATACCATAAATCTGCAATTTCACCTTTGGCTAACTAAAACAATTCATTCTGAGATGCATTCTTTGAAATTACTCCCAATTTAGGCTATAGAAATTATCTTACAGGCTGAATTTTCTTTCTGTGTCATGTACATATTAGTACTAGCTTGAAAATGGTTTGGGAATACATTTTTCCACATAATTCTCCATTAAATGACTTCATATTTCTTAGACAAATATTTCATAATTTTATCCACAAAGGTGGATATTGCTGTGCTTCAGACCAATTTGTTGTTGCAAAAGACATGCTGTAGGACAGAAAGACAGAAGGCTGAAGTCCTGAAGATTTGGAAACTAAAGCCAACTCACATGAAGCTGGTTTAGGGCAGGGATCCTGAATATTTTTTGGTCACATTTATATGAGGTGACAACGTCAATCCTGCAGTTGTATATATACACATGGAGAAACCATGTGCATGTTAATATCTCAATTTCTTAGTTCCATAGTTCATAATTCCGAATAAAGTGCAGATGGATAAATGCTTGTGTAGACATAAATCATGTCGTTCCTTTTTATTGTTTGTTTTTTCCCTGCAGGTGGGAACCAGGATGGAAAATTCAGTGTCGGCTTTAGGGATGGAATAGTTAGAACAGTTGTCAACCTGGATAGAGAAACCATGCCATCCTACACCCTCATCCTAGAAGCCATTGGTAAGCGTGTCTTATGGCATCTTTTTCTTCATCCTTCTCTAAAAACTCATGCTGCTGCTTTTGGGGTGAGGAACTTGTATAAAGGACCTGATTTGCAAATTAGTAGTATAGTTTTCTCTCCTGAAGCTTTCAGAAAGGGAAAAATGGCTTTTACTGATCTTCAGACCAACCTGGATGAGCCATGCGTTTTCATCTAGTATTCTGGAAAGGAACATCTTTGTGGGCTTCTATGAGATGTAGTTTCTGTTTTGTTAACTTGTTGAAGAAAATATTCTTCAGCATATTGTGGGGTAAAATACAGTGAACTTCCCCACATTAAGTTTAAATGTAGATTAGTTAGGAAAATATCATGATCATAGGAATTAAGTATTTATTTTAATCACTATGATTTTTTTTCCCATGTAACACGTATTTATGAAAGATTTTATATCATTCAGAATGCAATATATTTTGTAGGGGAAAATTTATTCAACAAAATTTACCATTCTGAGCACCACACTATTTTTTGCATATGGAAATTTCTACTGAAATCTGTAAGAAAACTAATTGCAATGAAAATGCAAATTGGTACACAACAAACATGTGGCAAGGACATTCAGTGGCTTGTGAAGTGTACTGTGTAAAATATAAATGTCATCCATCAAGCAAGACATAAAAACATAACCAAAATCACTATAAAATAAAGATCTTGCATTCTAAAAATCAGAAGCTGTTTAAAAAGAGGCTGACAGAAGACAAGGTTGCTCAATAGTATGCCTTGATGACACAAGCATTAGTTTACAAGAACTCAAAAAAGTAGTTATTGATAGACAATCCTGGCCTAATGATGCCTCTCAGATTAAGAAGAATCGGAAGTGACTGAACAACCATTCTTCAAATATAATCTAATCCAAGTTGTTTTTGATGGAGATAAAAAAAAACCCCACAATGTTTACTAAATACTACCTTCATCTTATATTATTGTTGTCTTCTTTCCTTGGTATTGTTGCTTATTGACATTCCAAGAGGGCTTAAAGCTTTCCTGGAGTTTGTAGAGATAAAGATTTTGTCCAGTCCCAATTGAGCATCTACTAAGAAGAGAAAAATTAATTGCTGGGACTCTAGGAGCCTGACATCTCTTAGAAAGTAATGGCTCGGAGATTATTTAAGTTGAAGATGGTAGATAGAGAGGTATGAAGCATTTTGCCCTTATTTTCTTTAGAATTTCCTAGGATTGATCATGATGCAGTCGGTGGAACTGACAGCGCTTTTCTTCTGAATGTTAGGAGATGACATGGAGTGCTTTGTTCTCACAGATAATGGTCCAACAGGCAAACGGAGGACTGGGACTGCGACTGTACATATCACAGTGCTGGATGTCAATGACAACCGACCCATCTTTCTCCAGAGCAGTTATGAAACTACTGTGCCAGAAGATATCCCTGACTACAGCAGCATTGTACAAGTATGTAACTGAACTTTTCAGTAAGATTCAGTGCATAAAGAGAGGTAAGGAGGAAGACCGAGAAGCAACAGCTTGGTCTCACTGTAGTTGAGCTGTTAGCTACAGCCATACTAAAGAGCTCAAATCACCTAGATAGTGTTAATGTTAGCCAAGGCCTCTGTCTCAGACGTGTGCTGCTTCATGAACTCTATTGCAATTAGCAATCACTCATTTCCTCTATTATTGGAAACGCTTAAAAACAGGTAATGATTTAAAGGCAGTAGCAGCAAGGAGATCTAGAATTAACTTCAATAATGCCAGACAGAAAGAAGCTTCAGTTCACTACTGGGACCGAGGCACTGAAGCTAACAGTGCTACATTATCAAAAGCCCTGAATTGCAGAAACATAGAACATATTAATTCTTTCCTATTGATTCAGAAATTAAATATCTCCCTGAAATAGTTCATGGGCTACATTGAATCAAGCAGTGTCAGGTTTTGAGTGTAAGTCAAGGTCTCCTAAATAGATCTGCTTTCAGTGAGACATTGGCTGAAGCTTTCTGGACTTATCTGTGACTATGCATACAAAGTAGCTTTAAGGAAAAAACGGGGGGAGAAGATTTTGGTGTCTCATGTTTTCCTTTTTGTTTCTCTCTTTGAAATGAGCCCTTAACAGAATGAATGCGTGCATTCACAGAGTTTCTATGGTGCTTTCAGTTTCTCTTCAAACCAAACATTTCTCCTGTAAGAGGTAGTGTTTGCAGCATGCTTTGAGTTGGCCTGTTTTCCTTGAATTCTCTTTTCTGGTCAGAGAAAGAAATAATAAAATTGCATCATTTTGTTCCTGTCGCATAGAAATTTCGGGACACCAAGAGTTCAGTCCTGAAATATTTGGGATAATATACTGAAGACTTTAGTAGTCTGGAACAAATATTGTATCAGAACATGGACTCACATATGCTACTAAATGCAAAACTATTATAGAAGACAAGGAAGCCCCTGTGATGAAGTTTAAGGGTTTTTTTTTTAATAGCAAGAACATTTGTGACACCTGATCACTGATTTTCAAGGAGGAACTTCTATGAGCTGCAAGGCACCACCTACTATTGCACTTTTGATTGTTTCTTGAGATTGATGCACAAAGAATGCACAAGTCTCCCTATCATTTTCAACTGTACTTTTTCAATTTTAAGTCCATACATTACTATTCAAAAGAAATATTAACGACCAGCTGATATACTCCTGAAGTCAAATGCCCTGTTTTTTACTGGTATCCCGCTCATCTTCCAAGGATCTCAGGCTATATCAGAACATCACCTATATGGTAGCTTAGGCTGGAAGTATTTGCTAGTATTTGAACCAACCATTTGCCATACAGATCAATTGTACCATAGGGGAGAAACTGGTACTTGCGCTCCTCCAAATGTTATTGGATGATAGCTCTCTTCATTTCTACTGTAGGCCACATTGTCTGGAGTTGATAGGAGTTTTATGGTGTCCTGTCCCAGGCTTCCTTTCTTACACTCCATACCCTACTCCTTACCTATAGTAGGAGAGATAGCTATCTAACAGGTAGCCAAAAGACCCTCTTATATCTCCAAGATCCTACAGGAGACGTCTCTATTTGATGGCAGGATTGTCGCTGCTATCAAACTTGTCCGGGTTGCAGATGAGTTCCTAATCATGACATAGATTTTTTCCCTGCCACCCCAAATAAAACTTACAAGATGGCTATTTCATAATATTGATCAATCTCTTCTGATGGTTTTAGAATTAAAATATGCCAACACTTCAAAATATTATTTTGTTTAAGAATGACACAGATGCTTCGAAATTGGTTTTGTGTATACAGGACCTTTCTACACACGGTAGTTTCTGATGAGGAACAATATAGTTGAAAACAAAATTGAACCAGGTAGCCAAATCTTCCTAAAGATTACAGTAAGATACACTTTCAAAAGAAATGAACTATTACAGTTTCTACAAAGGAGAGAAAGTGGGTTCCTGTAAGGGGTCTCCCATGAAACTCTCTGTAATAAATTGGAAATATTGCTTTTCTAACCAAAACAAAAGGGAAGTCAAAAGCATTAACATGAACATAAACTATCCCACGAGTCAAATTCAGGAAACAGACAATTCAATAACCTTTTTAGTTCAAAATCAATTTTACAGCTGAGCCAAGGGAGGTCTGTTCTGCCTTGGACTAAGCTTGTGTTTTGCCAGCTTCTGTCATGAATCCTTTTTAAGTGATTGACAACACGAACAACTAATATTCTGGACTTGGCATTCTTCTTTGGTTCAGATGAGGAACTGCCATGTACTAATGCAGATGATGTAAGAACTGCCTTTAAATCTGACCTATACAGTGGTCTGTATAGTATGTGCTGGATATGAATCACCATCTTTCCAGAGTTAATGCTGCTTAGTTCCAAATGCTACATTGTAGGGGGGAATTTGTGATTGGATCTTGAAGACTAATTTTTCCCCCATAGTTGTATCGGGAACAGAGGGAGATAACTCATATTGTACTTATTCTCCCATCCCTTTCGAATCATCACTGCTGCATGCATGCATACATGTATGTGTGTATATGGACACCTACAACAAATCTTTATTTTGGTCATAGACCAGCATAGAATATAAACAAGGAAAATTACATCCATTTCAATAATTTCAGTAATTCTTCACAGAATTTAGAAATCCAACTGCCACCACCACCACCACCATACCCATTATCATATCCTTTTAAGAAAACCTCTCTTCAGGCTCAAGCCCTGCTATGTGGAATATGAAGCTAATAAGCCGGGCCCAATCTTATCAAGTTGTTATTCAGAACACCAATCTAAGATATGAAAAGCACTTTTGGAAACTGTAAAACAGTGTACATCTGCCCAATATTATTATTAATTGACCCAGTTGTAATGTCTTACTAAGAATGAGTTGCACAATTATATCTCAGTTCAGCAGCATGAGAACTCCTCTGGAGGCTGTCTAAGTGCATTTGCAAATGTATTTGTGAAGCCTTTGCTGCTTATTTGTTTAAGTAATTTTCTCCAACAGGCACTAGAGTACTTTATTATTACAGAAGAGTTTATGGCGTGATGTTTTATATAGGTTGCATTATGTTATTATATTGTGAACAGAGAAGATGGAAGCACAATCAAATCATTTTGGCACACACCTGTTTAAAAGAAAGCCAGTTGAAAGCATATGTTTCAGGACACCAAATCATTATGGAATTATACTAGAGGGACTTAAGGTTCTACTTCCGGGCTAAGAATAAATCACACTGTATATATAAACTAATAATGCAGTACATAGTTAAAAAATAAGAGAAACCTCAGCATGTGCAACATTTCCCTTTCATTGCTGATTCCATAGCTCCTTCCACTGGTTTTTGCTTTGCATTAATGACCTTATGCCTTGTGACAGGATGAGGAACTCTTTGCATTTCCAAATTTCCACACAATTAGTCTTCTGGATGCAAGTTGGTCATAGGTGGGACCAAAGAAAAACCTGATTAGGACCTCCTAACTGTAACGGTTGGTTCTTAGGTCAGTAAGGATTCAAGAGATGGTTTTGTGAAGGGACCCCTACGGATTCAGCTGGTGTGAGATCTGCCGCCTCACCAGTTCACAATGAAACTATTATGAATAAATAGAATGAATAAATACATGGTAAGTCCTGGGAAGCAAATAGGTTCTAAAGGGAAATGGTTTAGTTGCTGCAACTTTTGTAACCTTATCACTTTCATTTCAGTAAATTGCGTTAAGAAGACTCTCTGTGATTTACGGCTGGGAGAAAGGATTACCTTCGCTTTGAGTCAATTTCCCAATAGCCTGACACTAACACACTCATCCTCTTTCTCTCATATCCCTCCTCCCCCCATAGTGCATTTATGCATCTACGTGAACATTTCTGCATTCATAGACATATGCAGGGAGACACACATAATGGCATTTCACATAACACACAACAAGGCTTTCACTATAGCATACACCCTCTGCAGAAGTTCTCCTTGAAAAACTAATGCCTTCATTGCCATGAAAGAGGTGAATTTCAGGTGGGGCAGGGATGATCATTGGTCCAGAACTGCAACTGTGAATTCCATCAGCTGTGCTTTGGGATCAGAATAAGAGTCAATTAATAATAAAATGGCACATGATTACAGATAACTCTGTTCTAACCAAATAACATGCAGTGATATTGCTTGCCTTGTCACAGTTAAAGGAAGATCTAATAATGACATTGCAAGGAAAGGGGGATTTTAATTGGTTGGGAGATCTACAGGAAATCCAAGAGCAGCAGGCTATGTTGGATGGATGGATGGATGGATGGATGGATGGATGGATGGATAGAGAGATAGAGAGATAGAGAGATAGAGAGATAGAGAGATAGAGGAAGAGGCAATAGCAAAGTACTGTACTCTTGAACTGCTGCCAAGAAAACTCCATGAATGTTTCCATGCACTTGGCTGTAACCACCTTGACTGAATGTTTAACTTTGGGCTACCAGATCTGAGCTACAAAAACCTGGATGACTACTATATGACAGCAGAGAGATTGAGAACATTCTAACTCTTTGCTCCCTTGTAAATGGTCGTGGGAGGAAGGATGTGAAGCAAATAGAAATGTCCATACTTCCCATTCAACTGTCTCCCTTTAAGGGCCCTGCCCTTACCATTTTTGGAGAACAAGCCCAAATGTTCTGAAGAGTACAAGCCCAAATTTTGGAGAACAAGCCCAAATGGCTGAAGAGTAAGGAGTGGGAGAATTAAAAGAAATCTGAACGTGGCAATAGTCATACCTGATGGGGAAGGGAGCAACTGAGTCGTGGCACATCAGAGACAGTTACAGAGCATCACCAGCTGCAGTGGAGAATGCAGAGGACAGTGACAAGCTTCTCCCAAGTGGCCCAAGTGCTGGCATTGAGAGGCAGCCTTGGGGGCTGGCAAGTGGCCAGGGTGTGGGCTTATCCCAACGCCCAAGCCCAGTAAATAACTCACAAGCACTGGCAACTGA